AGAGACAATCATGGACATCGGTTTGCATAGGACGAAGACGTGTGTGGCTGGGTAAAGATGTGGTTCCGTAGAGAGCCCACAAGCTTTGTCAGGGATGGGATTGACCGTCTTATCTCCCAGTGGGATAAATGAATTAACAGTTTTGGAGGTTAGTTTTGAGGTAAGAAATATTCTTTAATATGTTTTGGTTTCTGACCCGTTTTCATTTGACTGCCCCTCATATAAACTTGTGAACAGGACTCACCTGGTTCAAGATAAGCCCGAAAAGTTAGTTTCTTTTTAATATATTAGCGAATCTTGTTCCTATTATTAACTTGATATGCGTATGAAGAGGGAAAGAAGCAGCTAAAGTTGTACGAAATTAACCTAATGAAACTTGCAGGGAATACAAGGAATAAGCGATCATGACTCTGGTAGCTCATTCGATCAGCCCACCAAGCTTGTATATGTCTTTCCTTTGGACTTCGATCACTAAGAGGAAGTAGGCAAGTTACAGCTCCTTCCATTTAAAGAATATCTGGGAATTATCCAGCTCTGGGGTCCACAGGGCGAGTTTATGCAGGTGTTTTTATTCAGTTATTACGGGTATTGGTTTACTCCTTTCAAGGTTCTTCTTAGTATGGAGGGCAATATACCCGCTCTAATTTTAATCCTCTGCCCTTGCTGTGTTTATTTATATTTTCTTGTTCTTTCTTTCTTCTTCAGAGATTTTGATCCTCTGTGGATTATGGGTACATCCAACAAATTAATTACGGTTCATTGGAGTACCTATACTCCTCTTTTTTGAACTCGCTTAATTGGTTTGAACTTCATATTTTTAAGTTAGGCTCTGGTTTTAGAGATTCTGGCCAGAACATTATTCAAGGACATAAGTGCAAGGTGGCTGAATATGTTTTTCCATCTAAAATTTTGCCAATGGTCTCTCACTATCTTGTTGGTTCGTGTATCTGTTCTCTTGTTGCTGTTTGTTGGGTCGGGATACGAGGACTAGCTCAATTATTATTATTATTATTATTATTTTTTATTATTATTGGAGGGGGT